CCTCCAGTCCAACCCCCAGCATTCTAACAAAGTAGAGCTTGGGGTGGAGGGCTGGGCTGGGCTGGAGAACCAGGACCTCTTTGTGATTCCCCTCCCACATTCCTGCCTCCTTTGGAGAGTAAGGAGGCAGCTCCCAGGATGAGGAGATTAAGAGGAGGCTTTCAGCAGGGGTGCCCACCTTTCGGCATCTCAGAGCCACACTGGAAGAGGAAGAGTTGTCTTGGGCCACACATTAAAGACACTGTAACACGTAATCACAAAAAAAAAAAAAAAAATCTCGTAATGTTTTAAGTACATTTACGATTTTGCATTGGGCCACATTCACAGCCATCCTGGATTGGACACCCCTGTAAGTCAGGGCCTCCAAAAGGTTACCCCTCAACATCACACACTCCAAAGTGAACCTTTAAGGGGAGGGCCAAGATCACATCCATCTCTGTACCCGTGGCCCAGCCCAGAGGAGTCCAATCTGTATTTATTTAAAAACCAAATTTTTTAGGACTGCATTTAAGACCCTTACAATCAGTCCCTACATACTTCACATTCTCTCTCACGCTTTTTATTCTTACTGTTAGGGGTAGGCACAGTGGCTTTGGCTTAAGTTTAAAACTTAAAAAAATTTTAAAACATTACTGTTGACATTCAATGTTATATTAGTTTCAGGTATACAGCACAGTAGTTCAACATTTATGTAACTTAAGAAGTGATCCCCCAACCCGGCGGCTCTGTTGATTGGAGCATCGTCCTGTAACCTGAAAGGTTACAGGTTTCCTGGTCAGAGCACATGCCTAAGTTGCAGGTTTGGTCGCCTGTCTGGGTGCACAGGAGAGGCGACTGATCAAGGTTTCTCTCTCTCATCGATGCTTCTCTCCCTTTCTCTCTCTTCCTTCTCTTTAAAATCAATAAGCATGTCATTGGATGAGGATTTAAAAAAAAAAAGTGATTCCCCCAGATAAATCTTGTACCCACCTGACACCATACATAGTTATTACAATATTAATGACTATATTCCCTAAGCCGTACTTGACATCCCCATGACTATTTTGTAATTGCCAATTTGTACTTCTTAATGCCCTCACCATTTTCACCCAGCCCCCCTATCCCAGTCCGATCCGGCATCCATCCATTTGTTCTCTGTATCCATCAGTTTATTTCTGTTTTATTTGTTCATTTTTTTTTTTTTTTTAGATTACACATATAAGTGAAATCATATGGTGTTACCTTTCCCAGTCTGATTTATTTCATTTAGCATAGTACCCCCCAGGTCCACTCATGTTCTCACAAATGGTAGGACTTCATTCCTTTATATGGCCAGGTAACACTCCATTGTATGCATGTACCACTTCTTAATCCATTCTTCTTTTGATTAGAGCATATAATGGGTTTACATTGAAAGTAATTATCGATAGGTATGTAGTTACTGCCATTTTATTAATTGTTTTCTGACAGTTTTTGTAATTCTTTTTTATTCCTTTCTTATTCATTGATGACTTTCTGTAGTGTTGTGTTTGGATTCCTTTCTCTTTATTTCTTGTATATCTCTTGTAGTTTTTTTTTTGTGTGTGTGTGTGTGGCTGCCATGTGCTTTTTATATATACACCAAGCTATGTTTATAGTAGTATATTTTAAGATGATGGTCACTTGAATTTGAATACATTCTAAAATCACTGCCATTTTTACTCAACCCCTGCATGTTTATATTTTTGTCATATTTTTTTAACTTTTTTTTTAGTTTGCATGTATTCCTTAATTTACTGCTGCAATTACATGTGACCTTCCAGCATTTTCCTTTTAACCTTTGTACGAGCTTAGTGTTGGTTGATCCACTGCTCTTATTATAGGTTTGTCTTTGTCAGTGAGAATTTTTTTCTGTTTTTAAAAGTATTTTTAGTGATATCTTTTAATATTACTTCTGTTTTATTTATTCATTTTTTAATTATTTTACTTATTTTTAGAGATAGGGAAAGTGAGGGAGAAAAAGAGGGAGAGAAACATCCATGTGTGGTTGCCTCTTGTGCGCCCCTACTGGGGACCTGGCCCACAACCCAGGCATGCGCCCTGACTGGGAATTGAACCAGTGACTCTTTGGTTCACAGGCTGACACTTAATCCATTGAGTCACACCAGCCAGGGCCCTTATTTCTTTTTTATTCTTTTTTTCTTTTTGTTGTTCTCATGGGGTATTTTCAGCTACATTGTTTTCTAAATTGCTGATTCAATCCTCTGCTTCATCTGATCTGACGATAATTCTATCTAATGTATTCTTCATTTGTGAGTGGTTCTTTTTTATGTTTTTTTAATCTCCTTTTTATTTTTACTATCTTTCTTTGTTATCTCTTTGTAATTACCAGTTTGTTGAAGTTCTTACTGAGAGAATTTGTTCTTCACCTAAGTTCATCAAGTATCATTGTAGCCAGCGTTTTCAACTCAGCATTTGGTAGTTTGACTTTTACGAGGGCTCCTGGGTCTATAGCAGCCCTGCATTTCCCCAGGACTGAGTCCCTGCTGGTTTTCACAGCCAGCAGTTGTGAGGACTCCTCTTTCCAGCACTGGTGATCTGGGCTGGGCTGTGGAGGTCCTCAGCGGGGGGACCTCCACAACAGGTTATCGCTGCCAATTTTTAACCGCCACAGGTGGGTGTGGGGCTGTGTCTCCACCCCTCCTGCTAGTCTCCAAGCAGCTTCTTCTTCTTTATATTTTTAGTTATAGGAGCTCTGTTCAGCTAGTCTTCAGGTGATTCAGGTGGTTGCTCCATAATTTAGTTGTAATTTATGTGGTCATGCAGGGAGGTGAGCACAGCATTTACCTACGCCACTGTCTTGACCAGAAGTCTGGCTTAACTTTCAAGGGACGCCATTTCTTCTGACGAAGCAATTCTAATTCTAGGGATGTGTCCTTTTGAAATAAACACAAGCACACAAATAAATGTACAAGAATGTGGGTTATAGTTTGTCACAAAACTTTGATGCAAAATTGTGGAAAATTTAAGCGTTCATCAATAGAGAAAGGTTAAAGATATTGGATTTAACCATATTATGGAACACTATGCAGCTTTTAAAAAGAATGAGTTAGATTTAAATAAGCTGACTTCAAAAGATGTCCTCGATAAATTAAATATTAAGGACGGTTGGTTGGGCATGATCCCACAAAGCAAAAGGTCTCCAGTTTGATCCCCAACCGGGGCACATGCCTGGGTTGTGGGTTTGGTCCTCAGTTGGGGTGTGTACGAGAGGCAGCCAATCGATGTTTCTCTTTCATATTGATGTTTCTTTCCCTTTCTTCCTCCCTTCCCTCTCTCTAAAAATAAATAAATAAAAATCTTTAAAAAAAGAAAACAAGTTGCAAACAATATGATATTATGTACATGTCTATTTGTAGATTCATTGAAAAACAGTATGGAAGTGTTTCTACCAAGCTGTAAAGTCACTACATCTAGAGAATGAATCGATAGGTATGACAGCATTGTGAGGACAAATTTCACTATTTAAACTCATATTTTTCTGTATTACTTCTCTACAGAATTACTTTGTAATTAAAAATAAGTAAATAATAAGTTCTGGGACAGTTAAGCTATTTTTGGCAATGGCACCAATACTCTTCAGTGGGACATAGATCCCCAAAGGACCAGCCATTTAGTGCTGAGAAAGATAAGAGGCTTCTCGAGCCAGGAGATAGTAGCACAGGGCTAGCAACAAAGTTTTAAGGTTTTAGGTTAGCTCTGAGAATGCTCAGAGGGGTGAATATTAAGGAAGAGTGCAGATGCCAGGTGGGGGCAAGACCCACGTTGGCTAAAAAGAGGCAATGAAGCGGGTTCCTTGAGCCTCTCCACCACCTGCCAGTGCTCCCTCGCTCGTCTTAACTTCCTCCCTTTCCTAGTCCTCTCCTCACCCCAAACCTGGGCCTACTCTGTAGGCCTGTCACATGGTCTTTTCTCTCTTCTGCTGCATCTCGCACTTCCTGTGAGTTACTCTTAGCTGACTGCCCCTGAGAGAGCCTATGCTGTTTTGGGGTAGAGGTGAGGAATCACACAGGGGCACCTTGGTTGGGCATATATTGTAAGATTGGGCCGGAGAGCTGTTGGGTGATGTTATAGACTGTATGAGGGATGTTGGGATAAATAGCAAATAATGCCTGATAAATGATAGGATGTTTAATGCAACCAAGAGTAGGGCTAGGATTAGAGTTAGGGACTATGGCTCCCTATGGTTTAGCTGACTTATTAGCATGACATTCAAAGCCTTTTCAATTGGGCCCGGAGCCCCTGTTGTATAGGGCTAACTTACGCAGTAGGCACAGCGGGCACAGTGCCTAGGGCCCACAAAAATGTTTTAGTTTCTTTTAAAATCAGAAGAAATAAAATGAATACCATCACCTGGGATTATATTCATCTTTATACCAATGCAATTATATCATAATTTTAAATGTATTTTATGAAGGCACAAGTGCCCATGGAAGTCATACTGTGGTCCTGATCTTCTGGCTTCTACGTCCACTGCTCCCTCACCCTGATGTCCTCTTGGTTTCCCAGATCCACTTGTACCTTTGTCCCTGTGTGGCTCTTCTCAGGCTAGATTGTTTCTCGTATGAGGTCTTTGCTTATTGAGTCCTTCCCACCTGAGAACTTATCCTTTGAGGTCTAAAGTCAAGTGTCACCATCTTTGTAAGGCCTTCCCTTTCCCCTAAGTGGAAGGAATTGTTCTAATTCAGCTAGCACACCTCTGAACACTCCATGACTTGCTGGCAACTCTGTTTCCCCAGCTAGAGTGTGAGTTCCACAGGGGAAGAGCCTCATTTTAAAACTCCTCAAGTCTACACGGCCTTGACACACAGTATGGAGGCTAAACTGGGGGCCAGGGGATGTTTGGGAACAAGAGCCAGTGGCTGTGACAGAACTTTCCAGATGTGTGTAGTTCTTCACAGCCTAAACCAGTTGATTCTCCAAAAGGATCAGCTAAGGACCAATAAAGGGCAAAGAAGAATCCAATGCAGACTTCCTTTACCAACATCATAAAACCTTTATTTCCCTGTGGATCTCACGCCCAATTCTCTTCTCTTTCAGGAAAAGACCTTTCCCCTTCCCCACTCCAGGCCACATCCTGGGAGAGGCTATGCTCTGCCTTCTCCCTTTGGCTGGGCTACTTCAGAGTGTTCCCTCTACAGGGTCCTGAAGGCTCTTCAGGGAGCTAGGAGCCCTCCTGCGGGAAAGAGCTGCTGGGAAGGAGAGGCAGCTATGGTCCCATGGCACCCTCACGTGGTGATGCCTTAGATGACAACTTGCTACTGAAAGTGAGAAGACCTTCTGGAAGGACTTGTGTGTCCATGTGTGTGGAGTCCAACTTGCTTGGAAAAGAGCTGACACGTACTGTCAGGACCGTTCTGTGTGGGACTTCACGTGAGTACAGCAGACAAGGCCAGTCCGTGCAGTCGTGTTTGAGTATACGCTGTCCCTGATCCCTCACACTTCCCAAGGCTCCTGTGGGCCTTATCTGGGTCCTTGCCTCAGGGTTGCCAATGACTGGCTGTGTGGCCTTGGGCAAATTACTTCACTTATTTGCCCTCAGTTTCATAATAGGAAAATGATAAGCCTGCACCGAGATGACAGTTTTCAAATTGTCTTACAGAATGTTAGAAGTTCAGGGGCATTGCCCTTGTCCGCCCTCAATTTCACCCATGGCTACTTTGCCTTTTATTACATTATACACGGGGCATAGAAAAAAGGGCTCTGGGGCCTAAACCTGAGAGTCACTGGCTCCATGACCTTTATAGTCTCTCTCCTTCATGGCTACCTGGCTCCACTGTTCTAAGCTTTATGGAGACCGGTCAGCTGGAAATGATGAGAAAGGAGCAAAGAGAGAAGGGGCAGGCCAGTGGCTAGTTGTCTAGTGTTCTTGTGGTGCGGTGGAAGGCGCCGTGGTTGAGTGCTCAAAATCAAGCCTCAGTTTTGGCTCCAGCCATCCACCAGTTGTGGGACTAGAGAACATCCTTTACCCCTCTCAGCCTCAGCTTTCTTGTCTGTAAAGTGGGTGTGCCGTTCCTGCCCCGCCTTTCTCACACAGTTATTGTGCAGATGAAGAGAAAGGATTCCTGTTAGGGCATTTTTGGTAAACGGCTCTACAGACTTGGGGTACTATAAGCAAAGGAAACACTCTTAAGACCCCTAACAGAGGGAACTCTGTTAGCATAAACTACATCACTGGATTCCGCGGGCGCTCTACATGACCAGGGACACAGCACATGGCTGCAGAAGTCCTCTTCTTGAATTCAGCATTGCTGCCTTGGGCCCCATCCCTGGAGCTTTCTCTGCTTTGGAAGTCTCCATGTCCAGGACAGAAGGAAAGCTCTAGGCCAAGTGTTATGTGTTCTTACAGTCTCTTCCATCAATGTAAAGAAAACGGGCCAAACGTTGTTGTAAGAAGTAGGAAGGTCCTGCCTTGACATCCAAAATTAGGTTTAGAACTCCATCTTTAAGGCCTACAGAGAAGCTGGTGATTGGGTTCCCAAACACCAGGGTCCCCAAAGCACTGTTTCCTGAGAGGCTTGTGGGAACTCCCACAGGGGATGATCTGCAGTCTAGATGAAGAGCCAGTGCTGGTGGGGGTCACTGGGATCGCAGGAGGCCATGACTGGCTTTTTGTCCTTGGACGTCAGGCAGGTACCAGATCCTAAATTCCTGATGAGCTGGTCCTAGAAGATGACACAGCAAAGGTCAACCTGGGCCCCAGTCCTGTAACAGTGCTAACTAGATCAAGCCTCTGCTAACTCCGACGGGATGCCTCCTGAGTTTCCGCTGTGTCTGGTGCCAACTATCCAGCCCCAGCTTTAGCCTGAATGGCTGGAATAGAGGAAGGAACTGAAAAATGCTTTCAGGACTTGCCTCCTCTACAGGGCCGGTCTTAAACACCTGGGCCACTGCCGCCTACCTCCACTTTCTGCCTTGTATCCTATTTAGACTCCTCCCTTTCCTGTAGCCCCAAGGTTAGGCTCCTCTTCCCCCAAGCCAGCAACTGGTGATTGGGGTAGGGTATGGTGTAGAGGTTCACTGGGGGTGCTAGGCTGGGCTCAGTACTGCAGAAGTTACACTAACATCCCGCGGCAGTGTGATGTAATGGAGAGGACCCGTGCTTTCCAGTCAGACTTATCTGGGTTTGAATCTCAGGCCTGCCATTTATTAGTTATGGGCCCTGGGTCTGTCACAAACTTGCTGAGCTTCAGCTGGCTTATCTACAGAAATGGGACACCACCTACTTGGGAAGAGCCTCTGAAATATTATGAGCCAATGTATGAGAGTGCATAGCTTTGTGCCTGGCTCACATAGGGCAGGCAGGAACCATGAGTGACTGTTCACTTGTTATCTACTTAGGTTCGGTCTCAAAATACTTGAACTACAACATAGCTGGCCACAGACCATAACCCCCCGTCCTATCTTTAGATCAGCCAGAACCAGCGATCACCAAATATTTCTTAGGCCCAAAGAACCCTGCCTGTGACCAAGGTCACGCTCTCCATACCTTCTACACTCTCCTGACCCATCCCATGGTATCTCAGGCATAAGATACCGAAAATAAGGAGGGGGTCAGCGGTGGCCTTAGGCCCTTGATCCTGATCTTCTGGGGCTGACTTACCTGGGTCAATACCCATTCCTCATCTGTAGGGACTTGGCTGTTTTTGCCAGTGAAGTGGCAGCCCCTGAGGCCCACAGTGCCGGCGCTGGCGTGTAGACACAGTTGCTTTGCAATGTTGTGGCGAAGGTCCCTCTGGGTTGTGTACTCAAAGTACTGGAAGTCAAGGCAAGAGGAGGTCTGAGGGACAGGCAGAGTTTGCCCACCACCTTCCAAGGCCATCTGCTCTAAGATGCCAACCCCCGAGAGCCTCCTGGCGAGGCACCTGAGTGGGTGACAAGATTTCAGTAATTCATGTGTCACCTTCTGGATTTTTTTGTAGCCATATCTGGGTTATACTGGAATAATAGTTACTTAATATTTTTTACTTAGTTAAAATTTTAACTTAGTTTCCTTTTCAGCATTATCTATGAAGTCATGTGTTTGATATATTCATTTTGGTTTTTTTTTGTTGTTGTTTTGCTAATAGTTTATTAGTAAAATGAAAAGGTTTGCCAATGTATCACCTAAAATCATTGTGCAGGATAGTGGTGCAGGGAGTTGCTTTAGAATCTCTCTCTCTCTCTCTCTCTCTCACACACACACACACACACTTACAGTGAGGAGAGAGATATATATATCTTTGCTTCAGTTGTGGTTCAAGTGCTTCTTCCTTACTAAATGCTGGGCATTCAGGGTAGATTGAGAGACTGGGGTCAGGGAGGTTACTAGTTACTCCCCAGGAAGAGCTGGGGCCTTGTAGGTCATGGAGTAGACTTTCAGGATGCCAGGCAACTGAGGTGTCAGGAGGTGGTTGTTTGGGGTCATTTTTAGGTAGTAGGACAGGACTGGTACTTTCTGGGCCGAGGAGGCACTGAAGAGAGAAGTCGTGTGGAGGTGAGGGTGAGTGCTCAAAAACATAACACGCTTACCCTAAAACATCACTCAGCAGCTGGCACCCGCCAGCAAGCCTTCTCTGGGGAACGCTTCCCCCGTCCATCCCTCTCTGGCACCCAGCTCTGATGCCCAGTACTCCCTAGGCGGCCCTAATTCCAAATTCAGATCTTGTCTCTGTGTCATGCATTCTTCCTCAGACTGGGAGCTTCCAGAGGGCAGGGATGGCACCTCCTCCTCTCTCTGGATCTCCCCCACCCTAGTCCTTGGGAAAGGACTATTTTGAGCGGAGAAAGGGGGCCTGTTAAGGGAGGAGATGCCCAGAGACAGGCTTCTCTTGGGATAGCCCCAGGAGGGTTAGGCTACATACCTGGTTGCCACCAAGGCCATGGCAGGGGTACATGATGAGGGGCTTCCCTCCACGGTTGTTCTCCCCCACATCCAGGCACTGACTGATGCCAAGGTTCCTTATCTGCAGGAGGGTGAGCAGAGAGGTGAACAGGATAGCAGTGAGGAGTGTTTCAGTACATGGTATCAGGCCCAGCTGGAATAAATTTGCATGACTAGATCTCTCCTCTGCTCACTAACCTAGATGCCTGGAGTTAATAGCAAAGTAAGATGCACAGCCCAGAGGCCGGGTCCGAGCCGGCTGGGCAACCTCCCAGGCTGCCAGGTCCCTGGGAGGAGCCCTCAGCACGTAGGAATTTCCTTGTGCGTGCTGGCTCTCAAAGTGTGGATTCCCCAGACCATCAGCATCACCTAGAAACTTATTAGAAATGCAGATGTTCATGCTCCCACTCAGTCCTACTGAATCAGCGGTCTGTGGTTGAGCACCCTTTCCTGACGATTATGATGCAGGTGGGTGAGAACCACTGCTTCTGGGTTGTTTTTCTGCTATAAGGATTCTAGCTATCTCTGGAAGCCCCAGAGTCCTCCTTCTGGACAAAGCCACGTGGAGAGTAAAATTCAACTCTCTTTTGTCATCCCTGTGGGGTAAGCGGTCCTGAGCTTCTCTAGGGGATTCTGTGAGGATGGTTCTCAAGACTCACAGCTCCGTAGAAGATGGGCTTCAGGTCAGGAACAAACATCTCTGGGTAGACATTGTGCAGGTACCAGGAAAAGTTACGACAGTGTAGTTGTTCCCTTAGCTGCAGTCGTTCAGAAATGTCACCGAAGGATTTCTGTCAACAAAGCCAGCCCCGCAAAGGTCAGCTTCACTGGCCCTCAACCTTCTTGTCTGGGTTGAAGTGGTCCAGAGTTCCTGGGGTCACTTTGTCCCAGAATGGTCCCAGGCTCATTCCTGCTCAGGGCCTGTTGGAGCTACTGACCCAGCCTCACGTCCAATCCCCAACCCCCTCTTGGCTTTGGGACCTCCGTCCCAGCCCCCTTCTCCCTCATCCCCCCTCACGTCCCAGTCGGTTTTCTCCCAGCCCTGCTCTGAGCCTCTCGGAGCAAAGCCAGTCTTCCTGGAAGAGGTTTTCTCCCATACTTTTTGCCCTCCCCCCATAAAAGATACTGGGGCTCTCTAGGCAGGGACGACAAAGGGTCCTCTCCTCCTTCGCTAGCTTCCCTGGGCTCTAGCTCACAGGGTCTAAGGCTTGTAAAGGGAAGCCTCAGATGGCAGTGATGGGTGGGCCTCTACCATTCAGCCCTCGACCAGGGTCTGGGATTCGGCACTTCTCTTCATCCAGACCCCTCCTGAGCACCATTTCCTCTCACCTCTTGGGCCATTTTTGCTGCCTGTATGTTTCTCCGATAGAAAAGCTCCTTGTAGTCGTCCATCCAGACCTCAGCCAGGCGCACTTGGTTGCGAGCAATGACATTGGTGCCCTTGGGGAAGGTGTGGGGGCTCTTGGTACGGAACACGTGGCCTACCACAGAGCAGGGGATGATCTCCAGCTGGCCCCCACACTGCCACACCTGCCACAGGAGGACGCAAAAGGGGGCCATCAGGGGGCTGTTTGCAGTAATCTCCCCCCAGGTAGCTCTGTTCTCTTCCCAGAGCACCAGACCCCAGGTCCAAGGACTCAAGGAAATGTTGCTCTCTCTCCTGGAAAAAAGGACAGGGACCAGGCTTCTCCCTAGGCCATGACTACACACTCCCTGGCTCTCTGATGTTGGTTCACTCTGATTTAAGCAAACAGAAATTTGCAGGGTCCACAGGGTTACCAGGGCTCAGTTCAGAGAAAAGACGGTTTGGCTAACTTTGTGTCTATATACCTACTTTGAGCCCTGGTCGCTTGGCTTTTTGACCTCAAAGTGTGATTTTATCAGCTCCCCGAGGTGTTACTGAAAACTCAAGCATTAGTGCATCAGTCATAGCAAGCACAGTCAACTGCCAGGAGGCCTGAGGTGCCACCTTTAGCACACTAGCTTCCGAGGAGAGAGACTGGACAGAGAGGGCAGAGGCCCATGGCTGAGCCTGTAATCAGAACCCTGGGAGTTATGGTGACTGAGCTGGTGAGCTTTCTTTTTAAGCCCTCCTGCCTGTGTCTTCTGGTTTTAGGTTTTATATTAGGAGGTATGTTGTTTATTTTAGTATAGTAGCAACAGAAATTCATTATCATAGTAACAGCAAGTATTAAAGATGTGCTTAGTATGTGCCAGGCACTGTGAGAGGTGATTTCATAAACAAGCTCATTTACTTACTAATCACTCCTCCACCAGCATGGGAACCAGTAGAGATGTCATGAGAGGCAGTCCTCTCTTCCTGACCTCCTCCTGACTTGCCTGATTCCTGGAATCTCTCAGACTTCTGGGGTCCTCCAGAATTTGGGCCACCATCTTCTACAGTATGACGAGCTTTCTGAGCATAGGGTAGGGAAACTCTAGAGACTACCAGGGCACGTGTCCTCTGACCTGGAAAGGGGAACCTGGTTTTTCTAGTAAAAGGATAGTGACGGCTTCCTCATCTGTTCCAGGGTCTTCTACCATTAAGCCCTCGATCAGGGTCTAATCCGTTTCCATAGACACCATGAAAGATGTCACCAGTCCCCAGGTGTCCAGTTCCCATGATCGCTTTTATCCCTTCTCTCTGAGTAGTTCAGCCCAGAAACTCGTCTCAAGCTGTCCAATCTGACTCCCCAAAGCCCTACTGCCAGAGACAGGGAGGGGGGTAGAGGAAAAGCGGAGTCCCGGCAGGAAACAGCCACCTTATAAGTTCAGTTCCAGATGTGGTATCTCTGCTGCCTAAGAGGTTCTCGGGCTGTTCCCTGGAGTGTTGTGGTTCCCCCCTCGAAGCCCTCTTCACTCTCACCCGGAAGGACATTTCCACGTTCTCCCCTCCCCAGATCTCCATCTGATTATCATAGGTACCGATGTGCTCAAAGTAGGACTTGGAGATGGAGAAGAGGCCACCAGCAAACGTCGGGGATCTGGAGAGACAGAGGGAGAAGCATGTGCATCTTCTGGGGGAAGAGGAGTGGGAGCCCGGTGTGGAAAGGTGTGGACTCACCGCTGACGCCCCTGACCTGTGCCCAGCCCCTTCCCCGGGCGTGCAGCCCCCTTCCACAAACTTGTTCATTTAGCAATTGTTTACTGAGCTTTCATTATGTCTCCTTTACCTTCTAGGAATCACGTCAAGGATGATGTAATTCATCATTATTCTCTTCTAAGAGGTACCCATTCATTCGTTCAACCAAGGACGTATTAACTACCAGCCGCCGGGGCCTGTGCTAGGCATGCAGAGCTAAGAGAGACAGATCCCGTTCTCTGAGAGCTCAGTCTTATGGGCAGAGAGTAAGGCTACCATGGTTTGTTCACCTTTTGGCAGCAAAGTTCCTACAGATATTTGGTTATGAGAAGCTGTGTGAAATTGTTTTTGGAAATAGGACTCGAACCATGAATGAATGAATATTATGAGCTGTACTGATCCCATTCTCTTTCGGGGTCTCTGGCCCTTTGGGACCCTGGAAAGCCAAGTTTTAATAGGAGCCCAGCCCTGGTGCTTAATACTGAATGAGCTTTGGGGAAAATCTGCCAGCTGCTTTGAACAGAGGAAACTCCTGGTAACAGAATAGGAAATGAGATGACATCAAGCTCAACTTGTCCTAAAGGAAGCATTTGGAGGTTACAAAAAGATTCTGGCTTTCAGACAAAAGCAGGGACGCACAGACCCATATGAAGATAAATGGACAAAAACATCTCATTTCTAGAATTTAGATACCATGTCGCTCATGGTGGGGTGGGGGGTGTTCTTGGGCTAAGGGTTGAAGGTGTGGGTAGGGGCCGGCGGAGCCTGGAGCCCTCTGTCAATCAGTAGCTGTTGGCAGCTGTGCCTGACCAGGCTCGCTTGGATGGGGCTTTGCTGCCCCCTTCTGTTGCTCTTCATATAGTACAAATAGGCAGAAAGAATCTCTGTAACACAGCCCAGAAGCGATGCAGGTGCTTTACACACAGCAGGGGCTCAATCAGTGTTCACTGGACGGATCTGTCAGGATGACTACACAGAAGCCTGACCTTGTTGTTAACCTTGTGGCTGCCCTTGTTGCCCTGAAGTTGGCTCCTGCAGCTGCTTTCTGGAAGAAACTTCAATTGGGAAACCCTCATGCTCACGCAGGCTTTCTGTCGCTGGTTCTGACCCAGAGGTTTTCTAAGCCAGCCCAAGTAAGGCCCAGGAGGGCTCAGAGAGTCCTGGGATGCCAGATGAGGACTTTGGACCTAACCTACATCTTCTTGAGGGCCTCCTTGACTTGGGCCTGTCCCTTGGCTTAGAGAGGTCTATCTGACCCAGAAGCCACGGACAAATTACCTCCGAGGCCACAGAGAACCTCACTTCAGACCCACAACCCCAGGCAACACCCTGTATTTCCTGGCCTACTTCTCAGGACCCTCTGGGTCCTTGACCCCTCCACTCAGTCTCCTGTTGGCCTTCGGAGTGGAGGATGGGAGGGTACTGCCTGCAGGCCTTCCGGTGGGGCCCTGTGCCTAGTGCCAAGGGCGAGCCGTGCATGCCACCAGGGAGCAAATCCATTCCTCTAACACTGGAGCTTTATCTTTCAGCTGTGTGGTCCTTGGACACTGGAGTCAGAGATGCCAGTGATGGGTGGTGGCCAGGTGCCCTGTCCCTGACTGTGCCACTGTGTGCCTGGCTCCCAGCTTGAGCGAGGCGGGGCTTGTTGCCATAAACACCAAACAAAAGACATCTGTGGAACAGGAAGATGGCCAATAGTTCTAATTTCTTTTCTCTTTCCTGCCTTCTCTTTTCCCCTCTCCCCTTTCTGTTGCTGCTTCTCCTCCTCTTAATGGAGACAGAGCAGTGGGCTGTTCGGGATTCATGGAATTACTGCCTGTGGCACCCACCTGAGCCCTCTCCACCGAGATTCTGGGTAGCATTTCCTTAGGATCGGGGCATGTGGAAGGGGAAGAACTCCAAAGCTCTCTTTTTTTCAGGCCTCCCCTCTTATTTATGTTCACTGTATCCCCTACTTCTGCTTCCTTCCACCCCAGACATATATTCATTTGACCCCAAAGTTTTCTGGCCAGTATAGAAAAACAGTGGCAGATAATCACAGGATATGCTAAAAGTCACTCTCTGACTCAGTGTGGCCAAGACATGTGTCAAATTAAACTTATGGCCTCTAACAAGGCCGGCAGGCAATCGGAGAGGGGAGGGCAGGGTAGGCGTATGAGGGAGAGGTGAACCCGGGCGGGCATTAAACAGTGGGTGAGCCTTCATGCCTCCACCCCATTGCTCCGCGGTCGGTGAACTATGGCCCAGGAGCCACATCTGGCCTAGCTTTATATGAGGCTCTGGGGAAAGAACGGTTTTTACATTTTTTAAAGGACTGTTTAAAAGAAACACAAACAAGGACTATTATGGAATAGACTGTATGTAGCTGGCAAACCTGAAATGTTTACTATTTGGCCCTTTACCAAAAAAGTTCAGGGCAACTGCAACAAACCGTAAACTGCAGAACACTTGTCTGTATTCTTTGAATGTTTTCAGTCTTTTCAAAGAGAGTGAGCTGGGAGCACATGCCACCCCTCATATTATAATGGCTATGCAAGGACGGCCACTACCCACTATGTCTCAGCACGTCTGCAAGCACCAGTCATAGTCATGGCCTTCTACGCGTAGGGAGGACTAGACGACATAAAGTGTATAAAGTCCTTAGTCCAGTGCCTGGCACACAGTAAGTGGCAGATAAAAGCAAGCAGTCTAGCCATGGTTAGGAGCACAGGTGTTGGGTCAGACAGGCCAGGGGCGGGATCCCTGCTCCATCCTTTGTTAGCTGCATGACCTGAGGCCAATTGTTTATCATTTATCATTGGGAATCTTAATATTCTCACCTGTACAATAAGCTAATCATAGTGGATGAAGATTAAATAAAACATGTCAAGTGCCTGATAGGGCACCTAATAAATGTTGACCTGACATGGCCCCAGTCCCTAGAACTGGGTGGGTCTGGGACCATGGAGGTCAGGTCGCGGGCTCACCAGGCTGTGGTCCTTACTTGATTGGGTAGGTCTCATCCTTGCGCCTCTGCCTTTCATGTGTAGGTAAAGTCTCCCAGCCGAAAGTCAGGCTCCAGTCAAAGTTGCCACGGCTATGGACTCTGCCCTTCTGGACAGGTTTAGAGAACTCAAAAGTGTTAAGGTCAATGGTGACGATGTCTGGGCTCACCACCGCTGTCTCATCCTCGGTGATGCGAGCTAGGAGGGGCTCCAACCAGCCATGGAAGCACTCACCTGCAGGCGCAGACCAGGAGAAGGCTGTCAGGGCCCTGATTACAGCTAAGCCCATGCACTGGGCCGGCAGGGAGACCCAGGAGGACATGGGAACTCTCCACCCATTTCCTAGCTACAGGCAGAGAAGCACTGGTAGGCTCCGCAGCTATACAGAGCCCACAGAGATCTGAGAATCTCCTACCTTCCCCTCCCCACCGCCTAAAGATGCAGGCAGCTTTTGGGGGTGGGGGAGAATGGAGGTCCCAGAGGAGTAACACGATCAACTCAAATGATCCCAAAGCACAGAGAGGGCCCTGGATGGGAATCTTCGGGCTCCCAGCCTGTCCACTGAATCAGCCCTCCCTGCCCGAGTGTGGATCGCAGAAGCAGCTGTCCTCTTGCCCGGGAATCTCTGCATCTAAGGCTCCGGCCCCAGTTGTAGCATAACAGTCCCTTTCATTTGCTAGCCCTCTGAGATTGTCAATGAAATATATATATATGACTTAATTTGGCCCTCAGAGTAATAATTTTGTTGGTGAGTAAGGTGAGTATCCTCTCCCCATCTTACAAATGAGGAAACTGAAGCTTTGCTAGTGGCAGAGCCCTAACATAAACCCAGGTCTTCTGACTCCCAAGTCTAGGGCTTTCCCCAATACAGATCACTGCTTTTAGGGAAGTTATGTTTTGCTAACAAGGGTGGGAGGTTTTCGGTTTGGGGAAGAGGGCAGCCTTCTTGGCTCCAGGTGGCCCTACAGGAAAAGCCCCATACAAATCAGTTCCAGTGGTAACAGGAGGCCTCTGCAGGGCTAAGTTCAGAACAAGGTGCAGATCAGGGAGAGAGGACTGTCCGGGGTTCCAGAGCACACTCCCAGCAATTGCGGGGTGACCACTCATTTTAGGGTTGTGTGTCTGATCACACATCCTTGGGAATGGGGTGAGAAAGGGTTAGAAAGAGCTGGGGCGAGTCCCAAGCCTCCTTAACTCCTGGAACAAAGCAAGAAGGAGCCTTGGCCACAGCTCTTCCTTCTGCCAGGGCGAGGGGGGACACAGCACACCCAGGCCGGCACTCTCACTCACAGTGGGCATCCAGGAAGGTGAGCACCTCGGCCTGTGCCACGCTGGCTCCCAGCAGCCGGGCTGTGATCAGCCCCTTCCTCTCCTCCTGCCGCACCACCCTCACGATCTGCAGCTGCTTCACGTACTGCTCCAGTTGCTCCTTTAAATACTCTGGAAGAGAGAGTCATTGGGGTCAGCTCACCACTTTGTTGCAAACCTAATCCCCTGTGGGCACCAAGCCCTGGCCCTCTCAGGCCTCCGGTAGGCCTGAATTTTTAACTCTCCTACATCCACTGCACTAAGCAATTCCCGGGAAGCAGATGGTGGGGAAGCGGGTGGGAGGAGGAAGTCCTGCGTGGGGCCAAGCACACCCTGCCGTCCCAAGCCCACCTCACCAGGACACTGGCTGTGCAGGGTCGATCTGTGCTGTTTACCTAGGCACCTTCTCTAATATCTGAGACAGGGCCTCAGAGTTGTGTTTCTTTGGTCTAAATCGAGTATAAATTCCTGACAAAGGCTCTCTGATGCCTCTCTTTGTCGCTGCACCTTTCAGACACCATCTTTCGGAGCCGTGACTCCAGCCTCCTCTCCTTTCCGCACCCCGCTGTTGTGGCCGTGGTCCCTCAGTGTCTGATTGGCTATCTCCCAGGCTCCTCAAAATAAACTTGCCAGGTAGAAGACACCAATTTCTTACTTGCTTTGATTTCTTACTTGCTGGATCAGCAGCAAGAAGTCTTATTCTAATCTTCCTTATTACCTCCTCTGCATGTACAATTCTTTAAGAAATGAAAAGATGCCAAGCAGCTTTTTAATTAAATTAAGAACATGTACGAAGTGCCTGCCATTGGCCAGGCAGTGGTAAGCCCAGTCACCCAGGGAACAGGTGACAGTGACCTGCCAGAGGTAGTGCAGGGCTCAGAGAGCCTGCAGGGGGGAAGCCACCCTGAATCTGGGGGTGGGAAAAACTTTGAGAAGGGAAGGGTATCTCTGCTGAGATCTTCAGCTCCTTCTGAGTAGGGGCTCACTTCATAACCCTGTTATTCAGTCTGAAATCCTCAGAGCATTATAAATAGCTATATTCTGAAGCAATCCATCTTGAGACACATTCCAAATCTTATGTTTTATTAGCTGCGATTTTGGTTTATCCGTGCCACTGTTCTGTCCCTAATTGTGCAGAATGGAGTTGCCTGTAGTTTCATGAGTGGAGGTGGAGGGCAGGTGTGACATATGATTGTGTCCTTTCTCTTTCGAGCTGTGGATCAGCCCAGTGCTCGGACCTTGCTCTGAACACAGTCCTATACAAACTGTGGGGCCTGAAATCAATTTGAGGTGGGGATGATTTCTCTCTCTCTCTCTCTCTTACACACACACACACACACACAGCCCAAATATTGATACTTGAGCACCTACTATGTGCCAGTCATTGAACGAGGTGCTTTCATGCTGCCTTTCTTATTTAATGTTCTCTATGCAAATTAAAACACCATGAAATTGGGAGTATTGTCCCCAGTGTTTATGAGTCAAAATAAGCCTCATTGGGCAGCTCCAGCCCAGCACTTGCTTAGCACACACCTGCTCACTCACTGCCCGGGTACCAGAAACTACCCTGTGCAGGGAGAGGCCTGGTCTGCGTCCTGCCTTGAAGGAGCTCCAAGACTCATAATCCAATTATATCCCCCAAGTGTTGGCTCTAAAGGAGGGAAGAGCCCTAAATAAGAGCCTCATCTTCTCAGTGTGGCTGATGTTTCCCCAGAGAACTCGCTTAACTGTGCTCACAGGAAATTCATGATGATGGAGACAACTCAAAGGCAAAACATCGTAGGAAGTGGGTTTTGCGGTGAGAGGCTGCAAAGCGCTACTCGGGGCCTGAGCTCTGCAAGGCCTTTCTCCCGTACCTTCCTCCAGGCTCAGGTGGGTAGGCTGCACCTGGGGCTTCTGAGCATGAGTGCAGGCCCTTCTCGGGGAGTGAGACAACCCCCCAAAGGTATGTCCCTGTATCAGTCTTCCTGTCATACCCTGGGCCCACTGGACATATGCTCCAGAGCTATGCATAGCAGAGCTGAGCACAGAGACACAGAGAACCTATCTGTACCCTTATGTCCCCTAGACGATAGCCTCCTTATTTAAGCTCAACACCCCACCACACGAGCCCCGCTGCACTCCCCATGCCTGGGGTCTATAAGACTCCTGTGGCCTCCAACACACACATCTTACGCAGTCTCATCAATATGCCGATGGCTCCTGGGTCTCCTTTCCAGGCCTTGCCATCTTTACTTGGATGTCTAACAGGACCACAAACCAAACGTGCCCAGAACGGAACTCCAGATTTCCCGCCAAGTTGCACCCCGACCCCCCCGTGTCAGTATACGGTACCTGCGTCCCTCCAGCTGCTCTAACCTATTGGTCGTGCTGGAGTCTCCCCTTTCCTCATCCTTTACAATTAGTCCATTAGCAAGTACTGCCAGCTCTCCCTCTTGGTCCCCACTGTCACCCCAGCATTAATGTCTTAACTGGTCTCCTGGCCTCGATTCTATACGACTCTTCCCAATCTATCCTTGCCATTCTTGACATAGCAGCAGAGTTATCTCGTAAAACTAAATAAGGCCCTGGCTGGGCAGTTTGGTTGGTTGGAGCATCATCTCGATGCACTAAGATTGTGGGTTCGATCTCCAGTCAGGGCACAGACAAGAAGAAACCAATGAATGCCTCAAATAGTGGAGCAATAAATCCATGTTTCTCTCTCTCTCTCAAATTAATAAATTAAAAAAATAAATAGATCATGTCACCACAGTGGTTTAAAGTTGCACTTCCCCTGACTGGTGTGGCTCAGTGAGTTGGGTGTCGTTCCACAAACCAAAAGGTTGATTCCAGTCAGGGCACGTGCCTGGGTTGCAGGCCAGGTTCCCCAGTTAGGGGCACGCAAGAGGCAACTGATCGATGTTTCTCTCACACATTGATGTTTCTCTCCTTCTCTTTCTCCCTCCCTCTCCTGTTCTCTAAAAATAAATAAGTAAAATCTTAAAGTTGCACTTAAAAACAAATCCATAAAAAAAAAAATCCAAACAGTATTGTAATTCCTCAAAAAATTAAACATAACTGAATATCTGTGACTTCAGATGTAATAAAACCTATTATTTTAAAAGAAAAAATATTAAACATAGAATTAGCACATGGTCCAGCAATTCTACTTCTGGGTGTGCACCCCAAAAAAGGGAATATGTGTACACTGATGTTCACGGCAGCATTATTCACAATAGCCAAAATGTGGAAACAGCCCCAATGTCCATGGATACAGATGAATGGATAAACAAATTCGGTTTATATGAACAATTAAACACTGAGCTAATCGAAAATGCTCCCCAAACGCCTCCTCCCCTGGGGTTCACACATCGCGTTCCCTGACAAGGCCGCCACTTCTCTCCTTTCCTCCGCCTGCCAATCCCTCTGCCTTCCCTTCCTACAGCGCCCTTCCTGGCCAGCCCTGCCTCCCCACTCCTCCTCACTCCATCAGGAACTTACTCACTGAGGGTCCTGTTCACTTCTCAACTCTCCAGATTCTGGGCATGTGTCTGATTTCCTCCCATCCATCTAGCAAATTCCCACCGGAGGGAGGCCTGAGCTCAGTCTCCCCCAGGGGCAGGGTAGGGCTCTTTATATGGGGGTGCCCTTTTTGGAGCACAATAGACCACTGGGCCTGGGGGCCAGTTTTCATAAGCCTGTGGAGTGTGCTTGGCCAAGAGCAAACCTGGCATCTGACCTGGCTGCACAGGAGTAAAACCTGTGCCCAGGGTTCCAGCTCTGAGGTAGGTTAGAAAAAGTTGCCCAGCCTGCCACTGGGCCTCTCCCCGGCCCCAGCACCTGGCCTCTGTATACTCGCGGTCTTAGAGCGCTGCCAAGTCCCTGGGTAGGAGGACAGAGAGCATGGGCATTGTATTTCAGCAGCGACACAGCTCTTCTCTGTGTGTGTGTAATCAGAGCCAGTTAATCTGATCAAATGGTCAAATGTGTGGAAAATTTTATCCTGCTGTGGACTGCAGAGACTTCTGACCACAGATCTGAGTTTTGTCCTTTTCCCCACTGAAGTGAACACGGCTGAAAGCACTGCAAGCGTCCGAAAGCCCGCATGGTGGGGTTGTTTATCCTGGGGCCCACAAAGTTCCTGGAATTACAATGCAGAAATGTGGATGTGTGCACATTGCTGTAGCAATTCTGCACTATTCTGGGGAGGGGGGGGGGCGGGGCTTTTAGCAGATTCTCAAAGGAGGCCAGGGCCTAGAAAACTAAGAATGATAGGGGTAGGATTTTCAGGCAGGTAACTCCAAGATGCTGAAACTGGCCCTAAGAGAGGGCCCAGGAGACAGCCAGAGAGAATGCCTGCTGGGGCAGGCACTTTGGAGGGGCTCTAGGGGCTACTACAAAGTCCATCCCACAAGGCACAGGCTGCTGTGCCCTTTAGATGCTGCCTGTGCCAGCCTGGCTTTATATCATTTGTCTGGTCAGAGGAGTTGCCCAACTGGGCATTGTACCTTATAAACTCAAAAAAATTCTAGGTGACAAGTAGAAACAGTTTAGACACAGAGGCGTCCAACCTTTTGGCATCTCTGCACCACACTGGAAAAAGAAGAGTTGTCTTGGGCCATACATTAAATACATTGCAACACGTAGTCACAAAACAGTCTCATAATGTTTTAAGTACATGTATGGTTTTGTGTTGGGCCAGGTTGACAGCCATCCCGGCCTGCGTGCAGCCTGTGGGCTGCAGGTTGGATGGCCCTGGTTAGAATTTCCACCCCATGTGATTCAAGTGGAGCACCTGAGGGGTGGGTAGCACAGGTTTGGGGGAGAGGGGTTACCAGAGGGCCAGTGTGAGAGGAGGGGCAGCTGAAATGCTTGTTCCCCATTCCATACAACCACTCAATTGCTACTAAGGGGCCACTCTAAAGCCCCTCCCATCTCTGCCAAACTCTTTGCCCTTCCTTTTCCGGAAGACTAATCTTATGCACCTTGCCTACCAGACTCTTACTGCACGTTTGCCTTTGCTTTGTAAGTGCCGCTAGGTGTCTGCTGGGGAAACGCGAACTCCCCAAAGAAATGGACTCACCAGTACTCACAACTCAGCTTCCCCTTCCACTGCCTCCCTGAGTCTGATTCCATTTTTTAGCATGGCCCCTAGTCTAGAAGGCAGGAGGAAGACTGGGGGAAGGTCAGGAAAAGCAGCAGCTCTACTTGAGTGGCCGGGGCACACACCGGGACGTGAGGTGTCAGCTTCTGGGTGGCAATGGGAGCATGAGCACAGGGGGCCAACTCGGAGAGCCCGGGACCCCGTGAGCCACTCAGGGGAGGGCTCAGCTCCTGGAGACTCCCAGCCTAATAATGATACCTCAGTCCCTCAGCCCCTTTCCTAGTTCTGGCCCTGTCATCCAACTCTCAGGGGATTGGAAGAACTTCCTCTCCAGATTTGCGGCCCTCTGCCTGTCTTCCTGACAATTACCCTGCCCTCAAACTGCCACCCTTCTAAGGCAAGGTCACTCTCCACTTTAAATACCATCAATGACTCCTAATTTTTTTTTTTCTTTTTTAAAGATTTTATTTATTTATTTTTAGACAGAAGGGAAGAGAGGGAGAGAAACATCAGTGTGTGGTTGCCTCTTGCGCGCCCCCTACTGGGGACTTGGCCCACAACCCAGGCACATGTCCTGACTGGGAATTGAACCGGCGACCCTTTGGTTAGCAGGCCAGCACTCAATCCACTGAGCCACACCAGCCAGAGCTTTTTTCCTAAATAAATACTTTCAGCATGGCACACATTTCAATTCAACATCTTTTTAGTATCATTTTCTAAAACAAACCTAAGCTTCAGCCACATCAAACCTCTCAAATTTTCACAAATACACCTGTCTCTAGGACTATGTCTGTGCCAATCTCTCTTCTGGGAATACCCTTCAATGCCTCTTCTCTCCCTAGACACTCAGGCTTTCAGGGCCAGCTCCAGCCTGGTCTCCACTGTGGACTGCCCCAGCCAGGCCACGTAGAAATAACGTCTCCCGGCTACGCATTGTTCCCATACAAAGACTAAACTGAAACTGGTGCTTGTGGAGCTCTTACTCCATGCTAAGTACTCTGTGTCCCATGAATTATTTATCACCTATTTCTGATCCCTTGTCCATCACGTGAGAGAGTCTACTGTCTTCATTTTTAGAAGAAGAAACTGAGATTCAGAGAGGCTAAGTATCTTGTCCAAGGCCACAGAGTTAAGAAGAGGCAGAACTGGGGTTTGAATTCCTGGATGTTGGCCTCCCAAGTTCATGCCCTTTCACGTCTGTTAGGGGTGTGTTATGGTCCATACTGTGTGGTTGATGTTGTGGGGGGCCATCTGATTTATGACTGTTGTTAGCTTTTATAGGGCAAGATCTGTCTCATTTGTTATTTGTCGTGGTATCCTCTTTGCCTAGGTGAGTGTCAGCCACAGAATACTCTGTAGATGTTTGTGGAATTGCTTTAAAAGGTAATTTAAAAGGAAGTTTGGTGAGCCATGTCACCTGCCTATTAGCCACTGTAACAAAGAGGGCTTTTGAGGTGGGATCTTTCAGCAGCAGGAGAGTGGTGTAGCAGGAAGGAAACAGAGGGAAGGCCCATCCCCACACTCTGCCCTGACCTCTCTCAGCATCTCGGACTTGGGCTGGGGCTTGGCAGCTCTAAGCGAGTCTTAAAAGCAAGAACTCCGAAGCTCTTGGAGCTCTACGGGTGAAGTGGGACGGAGGGCGAGGCTCTAGGTTGCCCTGCCTCCTTCCCCACACCTTCTTGTTGCTCACCCGCCTTCTCCTTGCCCCTGGCCTATCCCGGAAGCTGCAGATAAGCTGTGATTCCTGGCAGCAGGCAGTGACAGCGCCCGCTCCCTTGAGAGAACCTGCCCTCCGTCCCAGAAAACCAGGGGGACCCCCGCCGCCTCTTGGGGCCACCCCGGCCTCACCCTCAGTGCTAGCATCATCCACCAGTATGATCTCCTTCAGCAGGATGGCAGGGGTGGCATGCAGGACACTGTACACGGTTCGCAGCAGTGTGGACCAGGCCTCGTTGTGAAACACAATGATGACACTGGTGGTGGGCAGTGGCGGGCAGCGCCGAAACTTCTGGTCGACACACCTGGAAGGAGGACAGGGTAGACACAGCTCTCCAAGTCCCTCAGAGTCGGGGGTCGGGAGCACTCTGGGCACAGACACTCGTAACCACCGTCTGCTCCCGGGACAGCCGACCTGCACTCCTCGTTGCGTTGAGAACGGTCGCTCCCTGCTCCCACCTCACGCTGTATTTGCCACCTACTCTGAGCCTCTGCACAGGTGCTAGCCAACCTACTCCAAACCCATTTCCGCCAGAGCTGGCTCGGTGCCCCCGCCGCTGCCGAAGGCTCCTCCCTGCTCCCCGCGCCCCCCCCCGCCCCCCCGCCGCCCCCCCCCCCCGCCCCGCCTGCCTCCCCGGCCACCGGCCCTGGCCTCTCTGATCGGCTCGAGGAGTTCCTGGGGCTGTCACCCTTCCTCAGTGAGATGTGTACTGAGTAAATAGTAATCTGATCCAGAGGTCCCAGAGGGGAAGTAATAAAAGGCACATTTGACATCTGAGAAAAGTGACTACAATTTTCATATTCTCATCATGCTTTGCAGTTCTCTAATGCATTTCCTCCTTCACTCCCTGAGACCTGAGGCCACTATCACAATCAATTTCCTGTGACCTTTTCTCTAGCCCCACCCACTTCAACCATCCGGTAGCACTTGGCTTTGCTGTTACCCTCCTGACACTCCCTCGCAGGGGGCTGTGAATGTGTGAATCTGCATCTCAAGGGAACATGCGGTCTAACCCCCTTTCTTATTATCCCCTCTGCTAGTCAGAAAGATTTCTCATGGAGCTGCCTCTGGCTGCCCTCATGGCCCAGTCCCCTTCCCTGCTGAGGAGCTCGTGACAATTCCAAGTGGCTCCAACTTCTGGGACTATAATCCTTGGTCAAATTCTGAGGAACCCTAGGTTCACATCCCTAAAGAATCATGAATTTGGGGATGGAGGCCGTCATGTAACAAAATGCCAACAAGGGTATTCTTGACTTGGGAAACACAAGTCTAAACGAGAAAGACTTGAGGACAGTGTGACCACAGCCACGGCCACGTTAGAGTGAGGTGGCCCACAGCTCAGAGATCTCGTGCTGATTCGTTGCCGGGACTGGAAGTATAAACAGCTTCAAATCAAGGCTGGAATGAATGCATGGTCCTGGGCACCTCCACTGGGGGGCAAAAATCAGGAGCTGTGTGCATAAGGCTGCTGTTAGGACACGTCCCTTCCCCAACAGCTGGGCGGCAGAGCCCCAGCAGAGGGCGGGCCACCGAATCCATGGCCTGGAACCAGTCCCTCTCAGTCACCCCTGTGCCAGGTCCTGGTCCCTAGCTCTGAGTTCTCTGTCTGTGTCCTGTCACCTTCATAATTGTGTTTCACTCTCACAGGTCTCCCTATCCCTCAGGCCTGACTGGAGCGCTCCTGAACCCCAATCCCTGGGGTAAGGGCAACTGGTAAGGAAAAGGAGGGAGGATATAGAGGAAATCCTTGCCTATATTTTAAAATCCCTACTGGCTCTTTACTTGGCATTTGGCGCATGCCCATGGCCATACAAGCCACACTTTCTGCGGAGCCCTGGCCTCAGCCCGTGACTCTAGGTGCTACTTACTCGGGGGGTCGAGTGTCTGGCCCCAGGGCCCTCTGCAGGGAGATCCGGTCGCTGGCAAAGGCGTTGAAGCAGTGCTTCTTATAGCCTTCTTCCTTTTCCTGGGTCTCCAGGGGGGTCCACTTGTCCTTCTGAAATGCTTTCCCGTCCGCCCCAGGGCTGTTTGGGTCCTGTGGTGGCCGTTCCCAGAAGGGCTTCAGTTCAGCTGGGGTATAGAACCCAGGGAGGCAGGACTTGTTTGTGGAGACCAGTGCCTCCTGAGGCTCCGGAGCCCTGATCTGGAGCTTGGGCATCGAATCCTTAAGGTTGTTCACGGCTCCCAGCATGAGGTCCAGGACGTGGTCCTTCTGGCTCACCAAGGACTTCAGCCATGGTTTCTCTGTGGCCTGTTCCCTACTGCTTACATCCCTCTGCAGGATGAAGAGGAAGAGCACAAAGGCACTGCCCACCACGGCCAGGCGCAGGGACAAGTGGCGTCTGCGGAGCAGTCTCATCCTTGGGAACCAGTGGGGACCCCGGCTGAGTCAGTGCTAGTGCTGGGCCCAACCCTGGAAATAACTTGGTATGTCGTGGTAGCCACTCCTTTGGAGCCTGAGCCTGAGAAGGGAGGGGATGAAGGAGCGAAATAAGCCAAGGCAGGGGTGGAGAGGGAGTTAGGGGGTTTGGGGTTCAAGGCCAGGCTCTGCTGCTGAATGGCAACATCATCTTATCCAATGACTTAACTTTCCTGCACCTAAATTTCTTCTATCCACTCAATGAGGAGACTGGAATCAGTGTTTCTTTCCTGCCCTAAGATTCTGACATTAATGGATATACAATAACCAGAACACTGAAACTCTTAATGCAGAGATTTAACTGACATAACCATACTAGGAAACAATGTGGCAATTTCACTTCTAGTTTTATATTCCAGACAGACTCCAGTGCTGGGTGAGCCAGGAGGCAGGCACCAGAGCATTTCGAGCAGCGCTGACTAAAATGGCAAAGACAGCAACCACACAAATGTCCATCAGCATTAGAATGAATAAATAGAGTGTGAAATATATCCATATTATGGGGTACTCTACGGCAGTGACAAAGATTGAACCACTTCTACATGCAACATTGTGGATGTAATGTTGAGAGAAAAAAGCAAGTTGCAGAAGGATACACATAGCATGGTTCCATTTACAGAAAATTATAAAATGTAAAACTAAACAATATATTGTTTATGAAAACAAAAATGAACACAAAATATTGTTCATGAATACAAAAATAAATATGTGGTCACGCTATAAAGGAACAGTGAAACCAGAGTTTCTGAAGAGGGAGGCAAGATATGGGAATAGAGGCACACCGGAACTTCAAAGTAAAGTGTTTTTTCTTAAAGTGGATGGTGGCCACTACTGGTACCACTGTTATTCCTTATACCCTAAACATATTTTATAACTATTCTTCTGTATCTACTCATATTTAATAAGAAATAGATATCTAGATCCTATGACAACACCTCCCAGGCAGGACTGAGCTTTGGTGTTCATCAGCTTCCGCCCCAAGCACATACGTGATCCCGTGGCTCAGAGGATGAACGTTTGCAAAATTTTCTGTGGACAGCTCTGGAGACACAAGTCTCGCTTGTTAAGCACCAGATGTTAATGCCAAAAGACCTGCGCACAAGTCCCAGTTCTGCCCCTTCTAGTAATAACAGCACCTACCTTCTGGGGTTAGTAAATTCAATGAAACAAACAATCATGGAAAAAGCTTAGTTGTCTCTGTACACAGTAAATTCTGAAAAAGGATTAGTTTCTTTTTAAAGATTTTATTTATTTTATTTTTGGACAGAGCGGAAGGGAAGGAGAAAGAGAGGTGTGGGCGCCTCTCGCATGTCCCTTACTGAGGACCTGGCCCGCAATCCAGGCACGTGCCCCGACTCAGAATCAAACCAGCGACCCTTTGGTTCGCAGGCTGGCACTCAATCCACTGAGCCAAACCAGCCAGGGTGAAAAAGGATTAGTTTTCATCATTAGTGGCTGTGCAACCCTTGGACAAATTACTTAATCTCTCTAAGCCTCAATTTCCTCATCCACAAAGTGGGGATAACCAACACCTAACTCACAAGGCCCGGTGAGGATTAAATCAGAGCTAAGGTACGTAAAATCCTCAGCAGAGTGCCTAGCACATACTAATCCCTCAGTGGATGGTATCCATTTCTATTATTATAATTACTAAATCCCTGCTCAACTTTCCAGCAATTTTCCTCAAGCACCTGGTCCTTGGCCAAAGCCACACTCATTACCCTGTGGCATGTCTTGCTTAAAAGTAACTTCATTCGATCTACTTAATTGTGTTACTTAAACACGAAAGCTCCTGTCCGTGGAGCAGCCTGCTATCCGGAATCACTCGGACCTGGGCAATATGATCTCAAGGGGGAGCACAGGTCACCCTGGGCGGGGGGGAGCCAGGTGGTTTTCCTTTATAACAGACTCAGCAGCAGCATCAAACATCAAATAAAATGAAGTCTCTTTGAGCATCTGTTTTGTATTAGACATTGTCTAGGAGATGGGCGAGGAGATTGCTCATTCTACCAGTCCTGACGGGGCACCTGCTATAGGCCAGGTTCTCTGCCGGATGGCGGAGATACAGAGATGAGCAAGCCCAGCCTTCAAGGAGCATACAGTCAACTAGGGGAGTCAGATTTTAAGTAGAGATCACTCAGTGAGAAGAAGACATAAGCGAGGCACCCTCGGGGGCTGACAGAGAGAGGGTACAAGAAACTGAGAGAGATGGGGAGGGCGACATCTGGGAAGAGGTCCCGCAGCGGAGGGAGGCTGGGCTGAGCACTGACCCACAAGTAGGAGCTGGCCAGACGAAGTGAGCACACACAGAGGCCTAGAGGCAGGAGACAGCATAGCCAATCAGAGAACAGCAAGTAGATTGGGATTGTGGGAGTATGAAGTCTGACGGAAGTAGTAGAGGATGGGCTTGGAGAGGTGGCTGCCACCAAGTCATCATGCCAAGGGGTTGCCACTGACCTGAAGTGTGAGGAGCAATACGGGACTAGCGGGAACTTAGCACTCCAGGAAGAACCACATGATCGCTGGTGGAGGGCACCTAGGAGACGGGCCTGCTTGGCAGCTGGGTGGCCACTTAAGAGGGGCTTGGGATGTCACCCAAGACAGCAGCAGCGCTGACGGGGGAGGGAGAATGTGGTGCTAGAAAAACTCCCTTGGGTGACGGGTGGGACAGTTCACTTCAGCTGGGGGTGCAGAGGTGTGAGGGAATTGCTTTCCCCATGGGATTTCAGAATCTAGTGGGAGAACGAAAACTGGTAGGTCTAGGGAGCACCTGTCCAGGGAGGGGAATGGAGCAGATCTTTCACTGACTATTCTTCCGTACTTTGAACCCGACTATAGTACCTATTCGAAAAGAATCAAATTAAAACATTAGCACAGACAGTAAGTGCCAAGTTGAAAAAGGCAGAGTTCCCCATGGGCTCGAGGAAGGCTTCCAGGAAGAAATGGGGATTCGGTGTACAAGGAGTTTTCTGCACCAGGGGCTGAGCTCCACCGGGCAAGCACAAGGAGTTCTGCGGGAGCTGGACACCTCAGAAGCCCTGGAACCCGCCCAGCTGAGCACAAACGGATCCCCAAAGAATGGGGAAGTGTCTGCCACGGAGGTGTCAAACTGCCCTGCAGGCCACACTTCCCTGAAATGGAGACAGGCTCATAGAGAGCAGGCTGACAGCTGGGGGAGGGTCGGCTCGGTGGGTAGAGATTGCAAAAGAAAAAAGGAAAATAAAATGAAGAATTTAACCGTCTCCAAAAGAAACAAAAGTGTGTTAACAGCTTATTTACCAGCTGCTGCCAAGTGTTCAAGACTCACCTCCTCCAGGAAGGCCTCCCTGACCAGCTCACTCAGAATCACGCAGGTCACTTCAACTCCCTCTTCCTGGCATTATGTCATAGCCCCTCAAAGTGGGGTTGGCCTTTATTCCTTTTATTTCCCCTGAAGAAAGAGACCCAGGATTAAATTGAGCCTTTCCTTGGCATATGTTTTCTCAATCCAACCTGGGGGTCAAGACTTTCTCTCTGGAGCCTACGATTCTTCCAGGTACTAACCACATCCTGAAATGAGACACCTGTGATTAGTCTTGGCAGTAAGGGACTTGTTCTCTAGTTTGTTTGCTTAGCACACAGACCATAAGAAAAGAGTCACTTAGAAGAGACACATAATCCAACAGAAACCAGAAGACTGGGATTAAGGATTCCCCCTCTCTGTATGGGTGATTCCCAGAAGTGCGGTTAATAGGCTTGGGGAGGTCACCCTTCCACCGGTCTTGGTGAAGGAATCGCCCCTCTTCTACGTGGTACTTTGTCAAGTGCAGGGCTTCACCAGCTCTCCCCTCCAGTGTCTTGTGTCGCTCCCTCACCTTCGGGTTCCCGCAGCATGGCCACCAGGTACACCGGCAAGTGCCCCACAGCCTTCACCCACCCCTCCCCCTCCTGCTGCTGCTGAGGGTTCATTCCCAGTTCCTTTTCCTCCAGCGACCTTGGGATTCCAACACGTTGGACCATCTTGCCAGATTATGGTGCAGAACATCTTGCGAGATGATGCCAGAACACAAATTCACCTTCTTTCACTGGTTTAAGGGAACTGAGCCTTCACCCAGCTCAGGGTCTTAACAAACTACCCACTGCATCACACTATAGGATTGTGACACAAATTTAAACTGTTGCAAATCAGCATGAAAAGAGCAAAAAAGAAAATATCAAAGTAGGTCACATATAAAATACGCATTGTTTTGTTAAAATTTCGTTGCAGTTATTATACATAAATACGCAGTGTTCCAAAAGTCTTAGTGAAGTTTTAAGCTTTAATAACTTCAGAAACAGAAACACTACAGACTTTCAAAGAACATCATTTGAAAGTTTTTTTAAAATGTTTTACCTCATTGAGTTTTATGAATTTTGAATAATAAATTTTTATTTTAATGTGTATCTCAATCTATTGATGATAAACATTTCCTGATACAAACTTAAATAGAAAATTTGTTATTCAAAATTCATAAAGGTAAAAAATGTAAATTATTACATTTTCAAATTGTGTTTTTTGCTAGTTTGTAGAATTCACACCTCTGATGTGATAAAAGTGTAAAACAGCCCTTAGTCTTCTGGGATACCCTGTTGCACATTAAGTGGGTATGAAATTTTGTTGTAAAATATCTTTCTTACTTTGGTCCAGTCATAGAGATTTGAAAACTAATCAATGACACAGTCCAGTCCCTCCATTTTACATCCTGGCGCCCATCCCCCAAGAAGCCTTCTTAGATCTCTAGCAGAATTCACCTCTCCCGACGACGTGTCCCTTGGCCCACGGCTGATACCTCCCCTCCCTGCCCCACCACAGCCTTCCGGGTGCGGGAGCAGGCTGTTCCCTCTCACACCTCTGTGAGCTCCTGCACCGGACAGGCCAGGGCGCTTTCACCTCTTTATCACTTGCAAAGTCTAGCACAAGGTTAGTACGTAGGAAGTATTCTATAAACTCTTGTTAAATGGGGTGAGGACAGCCTGGTTAAAGCTACGAGGATAAGCACTGGCTTCACCAAGTGATGTTCTGAATGCACTTATTCCAACAAGCACTGAGTTACATGCTGTTCTGTTGTTACGCATTAGGGTGCTACTTTGACTAGGTCTGCCTATCAGTCCAGCACCCTTGTTTTACAGGTAAGGCTAGAGTGGTTAGGTGACTTCTATATTGTCCCACAGCTGTGGCTCCTAGAAGCAGATGGTGGTCTCTAAACTCCCAGGCCACTGCTCTGTCCCCACATCTTACGTACCCCTTGGAGGTCCCCTTGGGGGTTTGGGGACTAGGTTGGGGTCTCCTGAGCCTGGGGCAGAGCCTTCTTCCTGAGTGTCCCAACCTCACTCTCAGACCCCACCCCCATCCCAAAGCCCAATCAAGACTCCAAGTGCTTGAAAGATGCCAAAACCTGAAGTCCCAAGCCAAGGTTCAGCTTTTATGAAAGCCAGGGTAAACCACACAGAACACACCCTTGCTGGCCAGGTGGCCTCTTTGTAATAAGGTTTCTTTCTGTTTATCAACTGAGTCCCTCACCTCCGGAGACGTGGCAGCCAGGAAGTAAGCCACCACCACAGGGATGTTTGTTCAAGTTAGTCACACTAAGGCTCCATTACAGGTTTCTTGGAAAGAGGTGACTGTCGCCACTCTCACCCAGGGTGCAGGCGTATGGAGCTGGACATCACATTGGGGAGGGAACAAGTCCATTTCAAGCTACTGGTGGGGGAGGAGGCCAAGAGGCTGCTTTGGCCAAACATCATCCCTTTCTGGCCATAACACACAGCACTCATTTCACTTCCTCTGTGGCCATGCTGAGAACAAAGTAGCAAACAATCTCCTTCAAACCCCTCCTCCCAACTCTGACCCTTCTGATTACAGAATGCTGAGAGGTTTTCACTTTTCTCCATAATTACATCTTTAAGACACTTCAGCTACTGTGGCTTATTTGCCCAGAAAGACACAGTGTAAGTTATTTCTGTAGCTAGTCTGTTAAGCTCTTTCCCTAGCACATCTAGGTTCATTTTATGTTCATGTAACATTTTAAGCTTAAGTAACCCAAACACAGATTTTCAACTGAAATAACCTGCCCAACTCTGCTCATACTGTATACCGAGAACAGTGCTTGGCACATGCATAGTAGGCACTCAGTAAATATTTGTTGATTTATTACAATTTTGTAAAAGTCCCTCAAAATCAAAATAATATGTAACCAAAAAGGAAGTTCAACAGCTAGATCACAGGTTCTCACAGGAGTTACTTGCAGGCCCTGACAGGCGGAGCAGGAATGTGCAACTGAGCTCAAGCTGAGATAGCTGGCTCCCAGGAATCTGGGGTGAAGGAGGAGCCTTCAGGTGGGCAGGAGGTGGGACTTCCTGAACCCTGGTGACAGGCTGGGTTTGAGAGAAAGAAAAAAAAAAAACCACCAACAAAACTTGAATTGAGTCTTATCTGTGGGGCGGGGGGGGGGGGGGGAGGTGGGAGGGAAGATAAAAGGGGGCTTAAAGGGAAAGGTATCCCTAAAGGCTTGGACTGCTCTCCAGATTGGGGTGGGGCTGGGATGGGGGCAGAACTGAAGTTTTCCTTCTCTCCTCACCCCTCAGTTTACTGCTGGCTGTAGGCCTTCTACTCAGGGCCACCAGACACTCATAATGCTACCCCCTAGACTCAGGGTCTGTGTCCTACCCCCTAACCTAGTCAGTATTCCCAATTTCCCCACTGCAGCCAGTAGCACCGAAATCCTAGAAACAACCTCCACCCCTACCCCACTGCTGGGTGTGTAGTTTTGAGTCCCTTCTCAGTATCAGGTTCGCCCCACCCAGTGCCACATTCTGCTGATTCATTCCCTGCCTCCTGGATCCTCCTCTTCCTCTCAAAGCCGTCACCTGAGAATGTGCCCTTATCACCCAACATCTGGAGGATAAGCAGAAGCCGCCTGGCCTGCCAGCGTCCTTTGCCTCAGGCCTCCCTCTCCCTTTCACAACCAGAACGGCCATATCCATATTCCTTTAGCATCATTGGATTGCACGTTTCCACATGGCTGAGCAGTCTGCTTCCCGCCTGCCACGCACCCTCTCTGGCTGTCTTTCCTCTTCCAAGCCTTTCCCTTATGTGCTTGCTAAGCAAGCCATGCTTCTTTTCTCTTTCACATTCTGGTTCCAAACTCCCCTCCTCCAAGACGCCTTCTTAGACTATGGTGTAGTATCTCACTGCCCTCAATATCAAGGTGTATTTGTTTCCAAGTTTCACTACCCATGTTTCCCCACGTGGGACTTCCCCACTAGATTACTTTAAAAAAAAAATGATTTTCTTTATTTTTAGAGAGAGGGGAACTGAAGTGGGGAAGGGTGGGAGAAAGGGAGAATAACATCAATGTGTGGTTGCCTCTCATGTACCCCGCTCTGGGGACGTGGCTGGCAACCCAGGCATGCAGCCTCACTGGGAACTGAACCCGTGACCCTTTGTTTCGCAGGTCGGCACTCAATCCACTGAGCCACACCAGCCAGAGCTCCCCACTAGATTTTATGAGAAGTAGCAGGTCTAGACACTAAACTACCTAGATCCTGTTTGTTTGTTTGTTTTTTTTCTCTTTCCCAGTCCTTAAATCCTGGTCCCCAATTTCTGCCTCTGGAATGCAACCCACCTAGCCTTCTAGTCCCTGTGGCATCCCTCTGCCCTGAGGGATTTGGTTATGCTATTCCACTGCTCTCATCTGTCCTTTGTGCTCTGTTATATGTCAGATGTAGAGCTGACAGTGAGGATTGGGTTTCTTCCTTCCTTCAAATCTCTACGTAGGGCTCAGGACCAGGTTGCGCAGGGTACAGAAGAATAACCTGACCCCACAGGGCTCTTAGGTGCCACAAAGGAGCCTTCTAACAGCCCTTTTCTCTCCAGACTGAACCCATCCTTGTTCACTGTGCAAGCCTTTAACACAGCACAATTACAGCATTGAGCTCCACAGAGACAGTCACTGCCCTGCACTTGACCTCTCCTTTATTCAAACCCTCGTTTTCTTTCCCATCAAATGAGGGTGGACATTTTGGGCTCTCCAGAGAGGAGGAGGGGGCTGTATGAAGAGCTGAGTCTACCCAGATCTTTGGCACAGTGACTCACTGGGTCCCTCTGGTGCCCAGACACCTGCTCTGGTCCCCAGCTTCACTTCCAGGGCTGGAGATGCTGGAACGTGTCTGTGAGAGCCAGAGAAGGTTTGGGACAATGCCACCACTTTTAAAATTACTACTTACCATTCTCAAGTCAAGTAACAGTTATCTTCTCCGTTTTACACAGGAAACTGCAGCACAGCGAGGTAAAGTAACTCGACCAAAGTCACATATCTAGAAGTAGCAGAGGCAGGATTTGCACTCAGGCCCATGTCTCTCCAAAGCCCATGCACTGCCTGCACCATGACACCTCCCTGCCTTGTGTTTGGCTGGGGCTTGGAGCTTTGCCAAAGCACTTTCATATATACCTTCTCATTTGCTCTCCACCCAGGGAGTGTTTATGTGATTTGGCCAAGGGTAGACAGCTAAATTAACGACAGGGCTGAGTCAGCTGCCTGCCTCCATTATACCCTCTGCTTCTTGAATTGAGAGGCCCTCGGCGCTATGGTTTACTGCCCCTCCTGTTCTTGACTTCTGTTCTAGGCAGTGGCTACACGGACTAAGCCCACGGTCATAGTTCCTGTCCAGTTTTCTCCCACCTGAACTTGGGCTAAGGTGTTTCTGATCTCAGAGGGCATCTGACATATATGAGGGCCTCCCCTTTCATGCCTGAGTTCTATGCTGCTGTGGGTGGGAGTCAGCTGTCCTGCCGGCTGTGGGCAGTGATTACTGAGGATGAGGTCATATTGGTCAATCCAGTATCCTTCATTGTTGTGCCAGCTTCAGACTACCTCTTCCCTTTGACAGTCCTGTTCTGTTCTCTGCCCTGGTGCCCCTAAAGTGTTACCTCTTGGTGCCTAAAATGAATGAGATTCTTGAGGAACAGGTGCTAGGGAAGTGCCAGCGAAAATACTTCTGCTGGACAATTTGAAGCAAAGTACTTAGTGTGTACTATCCATCACGTGAATTTGCCTGCCTCATCCTTTTTACCCTTCCTGTGATGGGCCGGGACACAGCTGATCAGTCCACAAGGAGAATGGGGCCTGGGTGTACACCCATCTCTAGTAAAATGAACACAAGCCCCAGGTTTTTCGGTGTGCCCAGCTGTTAACCTCTGTGGGTCTGGGGGTGTGCTGAGAGCACAGTAGCAAAACCCTCCCTGGGGCTGTTGCAATGGGTTGTTGGCTGATAGAGGGGGTCTGTTCTAAACTTTGGTGGCAAACTGACCCCTCCCCCCCACACATCCACACACACACACACACACACACACACACAGAACTCTGTCCTACCTTCTGCAGAGATCACCGTCTGGGGACAAGTAACAAACTGTTTCTCCTTTTGGTTAGCATGGGGCTTGGAACAAATGACCGGGAAATTGGGAAGTTGGTGACAGTCACAGTCATGAACATACATCAGACTCCCTCCCCCACAGTATCACACAGCTCCTACTTGCAAAAGGTGCAAGCCTTCAGAGGGAAGACATCTGAGATGGCCCCCAGCCCCCCAGGAGGCGTCTGTTGTCTCGCCCCTTTTGTTCAGGAGCAACATGGCACTGGCGGGAGGTAACCTCTCTGAAAGGCTTTCTGCAGCAGGGCACATAGGGCGGCCCAATCAGGAGACACCGGGCGCACAAGAAACGCGGCGGCAGCATGGGTGGCTGAAGGGAAGAGGTGTAAAGCCTTGGAGGGAGTGCTACGGAGGGACGCTGTCCTGCCCCACCCCTACGAGCCACATAGTGGCTCGCATTCTTCCTTTAAGGGGCCAAGGTGGAGGAGGATCCTACCGCGGAAGGAACTAGAGGCCACCTCGACAGATTAGACCCGTCTGGCCCACCCTCTTCATTTTACTGCGGGGTGTGGTAAGGAGGAAGAGGAGGAGGAGGTGGGAGAGAGCAAGGACTTGGCAGAAGCGAGAGGCTGGAGGGAAGTCCCGAGAAGGCGGACAGCTCTGGCTTCCAAGTCAGGGGGAGGGTCGCAGGGGCCCGTGAGGGTCGCGGGCTGCTTCTGCTACTTACCTGTTGCGCCGAGGCAGAGCCGCAGCCGCGCCGCCGAGCAGCTCAAGGGTTTTCTGACGGGACGTCCTGGAGGGCGGGGCCGGGGCAGGATCTGCAAGGCCACTGGAGCGCGTCCTACCCGCCCCTCCCCGGCTAGGTGCAGGCGGCCACCCGGGACGCCCCTGTGCGCCGCTGCGGGCCGCGCCCCGTCCGGCGGCTTCCAGCGCCTCCGGGAGGCTGGGTCCCGGGCGGGGGCCCCAGTCCCACGAATTCTCCCCTCCGCCCGCTGGCCGCCGCTAGGAGCCCAGCTTCTCCACATCTCAGCCCATCCCCGTGTGCAGTCTCTGCCGAAAAAGATTGGAGAGTCCTACCCACCCCAAAGTCGACGGGCATTAGCGGCTCGGCCGGTGAGGCGGACCGGCGTGTGCAGGGCCCCGCACCCTCGGTGGCGGCGCGGCTGGAGCGCTCAGAGCCCGAGGCGGCGCTGGAAGGTTAGAACGCAGCCCGGCGGTGAGGAGCCCGGGGCTCCGTCGTCCCACGTTTGCCTCTCATGGGCGGGGTAGTCTCGGGCAAGTGACTCCTCCCCTCCATACAACAGCAAGGGCAATTTACAGTTATTGTCCAGAAAGTACACGGGAGACGGCTGATCGCACAGCTACACTGATACTCAAAGTGGTTTCCAGGACCAGCAGCATCGGCAGCATCTGGTAATTTGTTAGAAATGTAGATTCTTGGGTCCCAGCCCAGACCTAAATAATCCAGATCTCTGGGGGTGGGGCCCAGAGGTTTGCGTTTTTCAAAGCCCTCCAGGTGATTCTGGTGCACACTCAATTTGGGGAACCGTTGAACATGTAGTGGCAGAGCTGGAATTAGAATCCAGGTAAATTCAATTCCTAAACTCATGCTCTGAATCATCCTTTCAGGACTGTGCACTGGCCTTGTCCAGCTCTAAGATTCTGTGATGTGGCCTTTGGGTCCTTATCTCAGTAACAAGAGAAGTGTCATAGTCAACTCCAAATAGCCCCGGTTATTTGAAAGTTTTCTATGGTAGGATCTTAAACCACTGCTTGTGTTTTTCTTTTGTTTTGATATTTAAACAAGTTTGTATTTCTAAGTTTATAAGACCTGGGAAGCCACTTGCCGACTAGGAGCTGGATGAAGAAGTGCTCTTGTTTTCTAATCTGGGACCCCACGGTAGCATTGAGCTATTCAGCAGGAGGCCAGAGGTTTTCCAGTGATGGAGGCTGGAGAGACAAGGCCAGTGGACCGTGGAGCGCTTGCCCAGCTGCACCGGATCAGAGGAATGGTGGAAGATGGACACTGTCAAAGGAGCAGAAAAGGAGGTGTCCACCCGCTTTCGGCATGACCGCCTATCTCCCCTTACTCCAAGTAGCTGAGTAACTGCCCACCCCCCAGCTCCCTTTCTTTCACACTGGAAATGCTCTGGGGTTTAAATTCCCAAAGAAAGACTTTCCACAGTGGTTACTTGATCATCCATTTTAGCCCCTTTACAGACGCTTACGGCTCATTTTGACTCCCATGGTTCCAGTTGCCACCATTCTTGTCACTTGCCTTACTTAACCGCTATCTTTCTCAGAATAAGGGCATTCTCTGTTGAAGATTGTGGGATGCTGCCCCATATTCCTCTCTTTCTGAGGGCTGGACACTCCTTTACAGGTCTGGCCCGACGATTCTTGCCCACCCTTCCTCAAACTCTGTTCCGTGACTCCCGTGGGTCATGCGGTTCTCACCCAGCCCTGGAGCCTTAGTCAGGACCCAACCTGACCTGAGGGTGATAGGCTAGACTGGATTCACAGCCTCTGTTCTTCCCCAGGACAGTCATGACCACTGACCCCATCCCCGTTCCCCAAGGAAGCACAGCAATATTCTGTATTCTGTGCACCACTTTCCAGAAGCAAATTACTCATTCAGTTTTACCTCAGCTGACTGATTTTAATCGTGACTTTGACTCCTCAGAGTTACTAGCCACCTAATTTGGAGGCACATGTAGTCTACAGGATGTGGGACCCGCCCCTAATGTGTCATACACTGAGCTGTTCGCTCCTAGGAGGAAGGTCAGTTCCGGCTCCCTGCCCTCTTTTCAGGAAGGTCTGAAGATGAACCACGACAGCCTAGTGGCCGGGACCTCACCCTGCGGCTGGTGGCTGGCCACTTTTAAAAAGTTTACTTTAATTGAAAAAATTATAGGCATATGGTTAAGAAAAATCAAGCATTAAAGAAGATATGCAATGAAAGATACATTTCCTTCCTCCCTAGACTTTCAGTCCTTCTCTCCAGAAAGCACCTATGCATATTTATGACTGAAATCTCTTGCCATCAGTAAACATTTCTGCAGGACATACCTGAATTCCCTGCTCTGAATTTCATTTTTTTCCCGTCTCACAATCTTATTTTTATTTGTGGGCCATTTTAGATGTTGTTTTTGGGTGTTGAGTTTTGCTTTTCACGTTGCCTCAGGGGCTCCCCGCACCTAACAGCAGGAAATGCTGTGGGGAGCAGCTCGGTGGAAGCAAGTGAGACAGGATTGGCTCCGTGAGGCTATGATATCACCTTTGGCCTTTATCAAGTCTCCTCCTTCTACAGGCAACCCCTGGTAAGGGGACTCCCACCTCTGGGTGGGGCAGGATGCAGGAGGTTTGCCCATCAGGAGGAGGTGCTGGCTCCACTTAGTGGGAAAGTTTGTAAAGGAAGCTGCCCTGAGCTTGCCAGGGAGGTTTGGGGGGAGGGCAGGTGGCCTGCTGACAACATGTCCACCCTACCTATGACTTTCTTCCTCCTCCCTGGAGGGTAGCTAACCCCAGAAGAAACTAAATAAGTCCCTGCGACTTTCTTACACCTCAGTTTGTTATCTGTAAAGGGGGGTAAATGATGCCCAGGGTTGTTGTGAAGCTCAAGCAGACAATTGAGATGAAAGTGTGGCAGTTTAGCTCCACTACATCTGCTTCTTCAACTCTTTTCTCCCCGCGTTCCCCTTTCTCCCTTCCCACCTCATTCCCATGGCCAGAACTGAAACAGTCAAAGCAGGGAGCCTAAGCAGAGCTATTCCAAGTTCTGCCATAATCACTCATTCATTACAATTCACTCACCTCTGTGTGCCTCAATTTCCTCATTGGTAAAATGGGTGTAATAGTATTTTTATTGTTTAGTTGTTAGATTAAAATAAATAAAATGTTTGACCCACTGCCCAGTACACAATAAGCACTAAGTAAATGTTAGAATGTTTGTTATTACCATTAGCTGTTTTCCTCCTTCCTTTACTACCTTCAACAAAACAATGTTGAAGCCCACCACTGGTAGCTTCTATGACAGGTACTGGGTAAGACACAGAGATACAAAGGTAAATAAGCCATGTCTTTTTCCCCAGGACACCCTTAGTCTAGGAAAGAAAGTTGATAAATGTAAAAAAGATTATGACTGGGGCTGAGACAAGACGAGGGTACAGCAAGTGAGGCACTTGCTTTGGATGCAAAATTAAAGGGGACACCACAAAATTCAATAATCAAGTCATATTTAAAGTAATATTTTTAAAAATCAAAATTAATAAAAAATCTGTGAGGAACAAAATATTGACAATTTAAAATAAAGAAAGTGACCTGCTGAGCCATATTGGAGCCTGAAGCAAAAGAAAAAATGTGTTCTCCATATCTATACTTTTCTGTGTGTTTTTTAAAAAACATTTCTAAATATACTTTTAGAGAGAGGGAAAGGGAGGGAGAAAGAAGGGGAGAAACAGCAATGTGCGAGCGATACAACAGTCAGCTGCCTCCTGCATGCATGCCCCCAGCCGGGGACCTGGCCCACAACCCAGGCATGTACCCTGACCAGGAACCAAACCCGCTACCTTTTGGTTCGCAGACCAGGGCTCATCCAGTGAGCCATACCAGCCAGGATTTTTGCTATATATTTTAAGTGGTTATTTTTCTCTCGTATATTAAAGTAGTTGAAGAAATATTTAAAAACTGAAAATAGGTATATTAAAGCTCACACTATTAATTTAAGTTTAAATATTTTATTTATACCCAAACAGAATTTCCTGTGATTTTACTTCAGCTTAATTAAAATTTACTTAAGATCATCACTTGGTCAAGAGAAATTTTTCAAACATGCAGTTTCTCAACTGAAAATGAAATAAGCAAAGAATTAGATTTTGAAAGTATCATTGATGAGTTTGCTTGCACTAAAGCCAATTTTCTTTTTCCTCAGGCTCCAATATGGCTCAGCATGGCACTGGATTGGGATCTGGACAAGGGACCTGAAGAGAATGGAGGGGGAAATACAAGAAAGGTAGAAGGGTTTGGAGAGTTGGAGGGATAAGTAGTGTATTTATTGTTTTTATTAATTATCAAATATCATGTTTAGAAAGCACGAAAAAACACAAAGAAGAAAATAAACTCATAATTATGGTACCTAGAGATAACCACTGTTACTATTTTGGTATAAAATGTTCCTTTTTTTCCTACACATGTATAATTCACATGCACATGTGTTTAATCAATTTTAAGATGCTTTTTTTTCATTTTTTAATATTTCTGAAATCGAGATGTATCTTAAATTGTTGGTATCATAGTTTCATTAGTAGTGTTTGTCCTTTACTGGTATATAAATAATGATTTTTCTTACAATTTATGTTAAGCGACTATATATAATAATGAAATTATATGTATACATATATGAAATTACATATGTATATAATAACTATATACATATGACAAAACTGGAATTGTATTGAATATACTGTTTTATGACCTGATTTTTTTTTTTACTTACTATATTATATATTTTTCAGGGTGATGAAGTAATCTCACATAAGGTCATGAATCACTGCATAGTGGTCTGTTATGTAGATGAACCATGTATATTTTTTAACCAACTACTCATTACAGGACATTGAGGTTGTTTGCCTTTTTTGTTTTTTTCTATTATATGTAGCTGGCTGTGACCTTAGAGGTTAAGTCCACATACAGTTTTTCTTTCCCCTCTATCCCACCTCAAGTAAGAGAGGAATCAGAAGGTCACTTTGATTGGCATTTGTAAGAGCAATCACCTTGAGTCCTTGCGGTAGCTCC